GAGTCAAATCTAAAACATTCACAATTTCTTTAATTACTTAATTTTTGGCAATCCCTATATTTACCCGAACGTTTTGCCTCCAAATTTTCAGAACAAAATCAGCTCTTTAATTTACCAATGTAATGTTATTTCCTGATTCACTAACTATACATTGGACTTTAAATCCAAAATAATGATGTACCATGGAATTCAAATTGTTGGCTCCAATTCATGTCGTAGAATAAACCTTCATTCACATGATGGAGCTCTTTCACACTAATGGTATAAGCCAAACTGTAGATGGGCTATAATGCATTTTGCAACTTCGTTGTTTCCTATATGGCAATTGTTATGTGACTTAACCTCATTACTTTGCACTCAACTAATTAGGTGCCACTTGGTCATGGATCTTAGGGAAAATTGTAACTAAATTCATAGATGCCAAGAAGGTTGAGGGTTGAGTATTTTGTTCAAAACATAGCATCAAGCAACTTAGTTTTACAAATGGTGTTTTTCACTCTTTAAACCATTGCCTAGATCGCTATGGTCACACAGGAGAGAAATTATGCATCTATTGTTCTTGATTGCATGTTTAAAACCAAAGAGCAAATGTTTGGGAAGTGATTTTCCTTTATAGGTCGTTACTTGCTACTAAATTGTGTGTGAGAGAGAGAGGTGGTGGGGGTAGGGGTGGCACTGGACCCCGAACCGACCTGGGATCGGAGGATTGGATCGGGTTCAAGTTCAAATCTTGGACCCAAATACTATTTGGGTCCGAGTCCGGGTCCGGGTCCGGGTGTATGTAGACCCAACCCAAATCTGACCTGAATAGTAATATTTAAATAATATTTAACATATAATTTAGTTATAATATATGCATATATTTAAATATTTATTTTTTTAGTTTTGGGTTGGGTCCGGTTAGGTCTGGGTCTGGGTTCATCGGATCTAGGTCCAGGTCTCGATCCCATAAATTTTATTTGGGTACGTTGCCATCCCACTGGGGGCACTAGGTTCCATCTTCACATTTCTTTTTTCCAAAATAAAAAAGATTGTCATTATCCACAGAATTAAGATCGTCCTTATCCATAGAATAAACATATGCAAAACCGTGTCTACCTTTCACAAAATGAGAGATGCTTACTATCTAAGAGAGATCAAAAGATTTTGTCCTTCCTAGGGAGCATACTGTTTATTCAGTCCCACGGGTAAAACCTAATGTAAGAGTATTATTAATATTAAATATTTGGATGTGACCATTTCAACCTAACGCCTATTTTTGAAAGAAAAAAAATGTAAATTTCCTGAAAAATAATATCTTAAACTTGAAGAGAGGCCATTGCATTTTTCTACTTGGATATCAAGTTGAAAACTGTTTTTTTTTTTTGAAAATAATCATATGAAGATTCTTAAGTAGATTTATAAATTTCAAATCAATAATAGAGAAAGTATTGAAAGATATCATTTATTTTTAGTACAAAGATATCATAATTATTTTTATCTATTGGATTTCAAATCAGACGGTTATCAGTGTGTCATTGACTAGACTCAAATTTCAAAAAAAAAATTGATACCCTAAGTCATCCATTTTGACATTTAATGGCTATAAGTAATTGCGACCTCCCTATAATAAAAACAAGTAGCCTCATAGTATACAATCCCTCGATAATGTTTTTTTTTTAAACTAAAGACAAATGAGATAATGTGGAGTTACAAATACAAATACAAAGAAAACGAAAATAAAATGACCACAAAAAAGAGAAAATAGGTCACAAAGAAAGAAGTAAGCCGTGTCGCTTGCTTTGCAAAAGATCAGCATCTGAATTGAAGCCATGGCGAACATAAGCAAAGCTGATTTGTCTCCCACGTAGAAAAATGACGATCTGATCTATAATGCAGCTCAATCTCTAAGGAGTAAGGTCCAACTGAATACACCACTTGATCACATTAGCTAAATCTCCTTCAATAATAACTTTATGTTGTGTAGGATTAAATCTCGAAACCCCCATCCTCAAGGCCCAAAATTAGGCCTCATTAATTCCACAGTCATATATCCGTTTGTGGTATGGCCATAAAATCCCTAAGCAAACCCTCGTAACTTGAGATACGCATATCCCTATAAATACTGCCATCAAAGTTAAGCTTAAACCACCCAACGGGTGGTTTTGCCCAAACTAAGGTCAAGTAATACTTCCATCCATAGGGCAAGTGTAAATTACTTATTGTTTCAAATTCAAAAGAGGAATAATTCATTGAAACATGATAAAATAGGATGAATCATTCGGGTCCACTAAGTCAGTAGTTAGATATGAAAAAGTGGAAAGAGTATAATAAACGTCGGATCCTAGAATGAGGGTTGATACAACGAGGACGGAACCCACGAGAACTATGGTGGACATCAAAAATCTTGTACAAAGATTGTTTCAAAGTTGAGAAACCTTCCGATGGTCTTCATCTAAAGATGCACGAATATAAAGAATAAAAAGAATTTTAATTACTAAAAATGGTGCATCTTGTAAAAGTTAAATGGACGATGTATTTTTAAGATTTTCAAGTATTTTATAGATATGCTAGACCTACATCTTTTTTGAAGTTTTAAATTTTATAATTTGGGTTGAACATGCAACTTCAAGTTGTTGTAAGGTTTTCGAAAATGAAATTACTCTTTCGGCAAAATTTAAAGGTGTGCCTTACTTGTATAGTATAAGTTAGTACGGTTTATGTAAAGCACGGTCCTTGTACCATTGAAGCACATTGAAATTTTGGATGCAATTTTTGTAAGGCCTAGGCCCCATGAGAAAAGAAAATCCTTATCTCAAAACTCGTTCAAAAACAATTTGGGCGTAGGAAAGGTGTATGATAACTTTAAAATCAATTTCCACCATCGATTATGACATTTGTAGCTCACAAAATGGTCCAGATCTTGCGGATTTATAAACAATTGAAAATGGATGGTGCAGTTAATGTGTTATAATATATATTATTTTTAGGGTTTAAAATGCTAATTTTTCTTCATGACCATATTGGTCAATATCAAGATAATTGATTTGAAGGTTTTCTAATGCCATAACTACGATTTTTTTCGAGACCATTTATTTTTAATACAAGAAGGCCACAATTATTTTTGACTTCTTGCACGTCAAATTTCAAATTGGGTAGTTATGAGTGTGTCATTGACTAGATTTACTTAAATTTTGTGATACTCTCCAAGCCATCCAATTTGATATCTAATAGTTAATAGCAATTGTGACATTGTTGTAACAAAGGCAATGTTCTCATAGTACACAATCCTTTAAAAAATTTTGAACTTTAAAAAAGATACACACCAACATATTACAATAGATGGTCTACATAACTTGCTATCACCATTTTTAAGACTTGAAACTCCTTTTTTCTTCAGATCCTTACACCTCATAATCAACTAGAAGGTCTTCTAAAATCATATCACTCTTTTGATGTGCACCTTGCTTCGATGCGTTAGGGAACACCTTGCATATTACTTTAAAGTTTAAACTATTAGAAATTAAAAGTTTATAAAAAATTGTTTGATACGGGCTCGATCACATCTCTATCTTAAAGATGGATGCAAATATGTGGTTCATCTAAATACAATTTAAATTAATTGCTCAAATATTTTTTTTCATAAATTCACTATTTTTATTTCTTAAAATTTATTTATTTTTGTATTCATGATCTCTCGATATTACGTGTCCTTGAAAATTGGGTCCGAAAATCAATCTCAAAAATGGTTTTTCAAGAGTCGACTCGTTTCTACATGGACTCGGTAGAAAACGCGTCTAAAATTTATTTATTCTCTCTTACTATGGGCTGTCTGATTATCAATTGGTTTTGTTTTTTTGGGGCAGCTGATCACGGAGAGTTGCAGAGGAAATAAAGGGGCAAAATTTTAGGGTTCATAGGATCACATGAATTTTTAGGTTTCATTGATGGGGTTGTTATCCAGGAAAGAGCAACAACCTAGGGTTAGCACTTCACCTTGCGCACATCTCAGAGCTGCTTATCACGATTGCTTCAACAGGTCTCTCTTGCATTTTCTTCATTTTGATATTTGTATCATATCTTTCTTTCTCCTCTATTTTCATAAAAATGTTCTCTGTCTCTCTCATATTGGGCTTCATTCCAATTCCATTTCCCTTTCCTCGACCATTTCGCACAGAGATATTCCCCTTTCATTTCTGCTCAATTATGTGGTATGTTTTGCAGGTGGTACTCAGAGAAGTATCTGAAAGGGCAGTGGGATAAAGAGGAGTGTGTTTCTGAGTGGGGTAAATACCGTGCTTGCTTAGTGGTCAGTGGAAATTTCTTTTACCGACTTCATTGAGAAAAAAAATCCTTTAGCTATCAAAGAAAGTGAATATTTCTCTTTAATGAATCCCACTATCATTTATTTTCTCTGAAATTTGAATGGCATTCTACATTCTTCTTTTGCTTTTTCAATTTGCTTCCAAAATTTTGGATATTTTATTGAAGAGTTTGTGATGCGGTGTTGCAAAAGCACCACTCTTACTTTACTGCAGGCCTGTAATTCTATTAAAATCGAATTTATTGAATTAAGAAATACCTGCTGAATAAAATTGGAAAAAAAGGGATTGCAGCATTTGGAGGTTTATAGGGGTTTCTTTGTTGTTGTCATGAAACAGTTTTTTGGCAATAAATCGGTAACTTGCAAACTTAATGAGTTTTGAAATTCGAGAAAACAGACCAGACGATATATTGCTGCATCTGATATATCATTTTCAATGTCGGACAGTGGAGGTCAACTGTTCCTCATTTTGAGCAGACAGTGGTAAAGGAACCGTTTGTCTTCACCATCCATCATTGGGATTGGACGGTAAAGACTCATACATAGTGCAGAGCCAGTATATTCTACATGTTTTATGGCTTCATTTTCTCAAAACAGATACATCAGGAGTTTATATGAGGTACCCGTATTATCAATTTGAGTTCAAAAAGATTGTCAATTTAATTGAAATTAATAAATTGATTTAGATGATATGATCAAGTTATATAAAATTAATATAAAATTTTTACTTTCAGATTTTAGATATATATAGCTTTCTTATCTTTTTTTTCTATTGAGTCTAGAGACATTAAGAAATTTTTCTGAAATCCACCAAGCCTTGTATGTGTATTGGCCTTTGGGGCATTTCATGTGATTAACATTTCAAATAACATATGGGTATAGAGTCGAGAACTATTTCAAGCAAACCTGATCGTAATATAACCAAGTATAATGACTCAAAAGCTATGCAATGAGATTCAAGTACAATGGAACAGTTTCTCTTGTATTTGATGGTCCATTATGAAGTTCCTATAGTTAGTGATTCTCTGACCGCTTGATAGAGCCTTTTTTGATATAAGACTCCAAGTAAATTATAATTGCCTAGTTTGCTCTTCCGGTCAAATTTATTTACTGAAACTTTGAAATAAAAGTTACTCTGAGTTTCCTACCATGCTTAGTTGTGAAAAGTCATTTTCCTACAGATGCTTTGTTGAATATATGTGAAAGACGTTGTTAGAGATTGGAGATTTTATACAATAGCTTACAGCTCCTAGCTACTTAAGGTGTGTCCCAATTCCTTGGTTTTGATATGTGCTTGCAATTTGCGACTTAACAAGGGATCTGACCTTCCTTACCGAGTTCCTTTTCAAAAGCAGTCTCAGTCACAATTTGAGTTCCAGCTTCATTACCCTTATCCCAAAGTTTGTAACCATTGTGGATATAGCGGACTTCAGATCGTTCAGTTAGGTTGGGAGCTTATACAAGATCATAGCTAAGGTCTTAGTTTCCAGACTTGGGCGGTGGGTGTCTAGCATAGGATTATTTCACCCTCCCAAGACGCTTTTGTGAGGGGAGACAGATTCAACTTAGGGCTCTGATAGCTAATGCATGTAGCGATTCAAGATATAAGAAGAAGCATCCAGGGGGGTTGGTGGAGATCAATCTTGAGTAGGCTTATGAGAGAGTAGAATGGAAGGCACTTGATTATCTCATGGGTTGGATGGGATTTGGGTGTAGATGGAGGGCATGGATTGTGGAGTGTATCTCAACATCATCTTTCTCTGTTTTGATAAATGGTACATCTGAAGGCTTCTTTAGGAGTTCAGAAGGACTTCTTCAAGGGGACCAATTGTCTCGCTTATTACGCACTCCTGTGGGGGATGTCCTTAGTGGGATCACTGTGGCTTTGGGGCCTCATCAAGAGCCCCCATGATCTCTCATCTCCAGTTTGCCGATGATGCCATTGTATTTTGCCATGTGACCTTGACAATGTTAGATAATTTACACATGAAAAGGTCAATCTTCATGAGAGCTTCATCGTGGGTGTCTGTGCCTCAAAGATTTTTAAAGTATTTGGCAAATCTCCTAAGCTGCAGAGTATTTCTACTAGCTGACTGTTATCCCAGGTTTCCATTGTGTATATGAAAAACCAAAGAAGAGCCTTTGGGACCCAGTGATGGAACACTGTGGAGAAGTGGCTGGCCCCTTGGAAGGCCCATTTCCTGTCTTTTGCAGGTAGAATAACATTAATTAGTCCACCTTTAGTAGTATACTGATTTATTTTATGTTCCTATTTCAAATGCCATGTAGCATCTCGAACAGATTAGAGAGATTACAAATGGGCTTTCCTTGGCAAGCAAACAATGGGGAGAGTAGATTCCACTTGGCAAAGTGGGAGGCATTTGCATCAAAAGCCTGTGCGCGACAAATTGAGCTAATGATCTCTTCTAGGCAAGTGACTTTGGAGGAGTGCCACTGAGGGGAATGTTTTTGGGGTGAGTTGTATCAGGGAAAGTATGGCAAGGTAAGGGATGGGTGGGGAGTATGAGTTGTGGTTAGATCATGTAGGGCATCTGGGGTGTGGAGAGATTTGTGTAGTGCATGCCGCTTATATCTTGAGGGTTTTAGATTTGAGTAGGGAAATGGGGAGAGAGTAGGCTTTTGGCCGAACCTTTGGTGTGTAGAGGCCTCTTTGCCATCATGATTCCCAACTCTTGCTAGGTTGGCCACTGATCCTTGTATCTTAGTTCGGATTATTTTGAGTGTGTGGGGTGGAGGGTGTGAGGGGAGTCCGTTGTCCTTCCTTTAGGGGAAGATGTAGAGTGTGATATTTTGTGCAAGTTGTTGGCCACTTTGTAGCCTGTCTTTATTCTCTTGATGTTGGTGCCTTTGACAGGATTAATTGTCCCCCTGATATGCCTAGGACATTCATGATGAGATCTTTTCATGCTTTTTCACGTGAACACAATACGTGGTCCATCTTGCATGAGTTATTTGGTCCTTTCCGATTCCAAGAGCGACCTCTTCTAGGGGACTGGCCATTTGGACAAAGCTCTCACCTATGACCATCTAAATCACTGCAGCGTCCAATTCACCAACAAATTTTTACTTATGTTGAGAAGCTGAGAAAATGGTGGACCAACTCTTAATACATTGCCCATTTACTAGAGAGGCGTGGTGTTTTTTCCTGTGTTTATTCACTAGTGCTGGGTGGTGCCTCGATGACCATGCAGCATATGGAAAGGTCCTCTCTCTGGAGATTTTGCCTTCTAGTGATCCTCTTGTGTATCTGGAAGGAGGGTATTGATAGGGTTTTACTTGGCACAAGGCCCACCATACCCTCCTTTGCAAGAGGATAAGACATGTGATCATTTCATGGGCTCTTGCAAGGGCCATGTTTTGTGGCGTAAGAGCTTAGGACTTCATTGCTGAATGGATGGTGTTACTCAAAGAGTGAAGCCTAGACCAAGGCCACACCCTAGATAGGTCCCTTTGGCTTATACCATTAAACTCAAACTTTTATGGTAGGGTGATAGCACAGAGAATGCCTTGATGTCCTTCTTAGGACCTTTGGGGGCTTATGACTCTACTCATGCTGAGGTGTCAGGAGTCTTGACAGGGTTGGGGCTGTAAAAAGATTCTTTCATGTTGCTTCTTCTCATGGAGGGTAATTCTCTCAGTTTCATATGTCGGTCATCGAGAAAAGTGCCCCTTTCCATAGCATTTGGGTAATCTTATGAAGGAGATTTTCCCCTGACTGAAGCCATTGGTTGCATGTTTGTGCACATCTATAGGGAAGCCAATGGGATGGCAGATGTCCTTGCTAAGGAGAAAGAATGATTGATTTCCTTGCAAGTACATTTGACCCCTCTCCCATGAACTTCGATATCATCTCCTTGATTTGCTGTTCCCTAGCTCTACCTCCTTTTTGTTTTCTTTTCCATGTATAGGGCTTTGTTTTTCTCTACTCTTTTCAGTGCTACTTGATGTATACATAATGCCCCATTTGGGAGGCCTCACCGCCTCACCCTGGGGCTATACGGCTCTGGGTGTGGCGGTATCCAAGGGCGGATGACTTGCCTGCGCGAGCGCCCGCCCTAGGCCCTTGTGGTGAGGGTGGAAATTGCCCTTGCCAATCCCTTTATAAAGTTAGGAAATGGGTTGGGAGGGGGAGGGGGAGGGGGAGGGAGGGGGGGGGGGGGGTTATTTTGGCCCCTTGAAACCCTACTTAGACACATTGTTCCTCCCAAAAACATTTTTTTTAAGCTTGAATCAATTTTTTTTTTTTGGAAATCGATTTCAAACTCGAAGTTTCAATTTCACAAAAGGCATTCGACCCGGGTGTTTTTGGAAATTTTTTATGAGTATTATATTATGTTAGGTTTCATTAGTTACTTTTCTTGTGTTTATATTTGAAGTTTGGCATGACATTTATGATGAAACTTCTTGGGTGGTTTTTTTAAGGGTTTGCTTCCTATTTTTGTGATTATAACATATTTTTGGGTATGTTTGACTATTTCTCTACTTGATGGTGCAAAATCAAAATTTTATAACCTTTTGTGCAGATATGTTTGGCTTGTTTCTAGCTTTTAATGCAAGATTTTATAATATACTTTTGTCCATGTTTCAATTTATTTCCATGTATGATGCAAATTTATTTATAATATACTTTCATCTATATTTTTTTGCTATGTTTATAATTTATAATGTAAAATCAAATATTCTATTATCTGTTTGGATTTTTTTTGGTTTCGTTTATACTCTATAATGCAAAATTAAAAATATTACTTCATTTTTTTTGTCTTTTTAAACATATAAAATTTAATTTATAAGAAGGTTGGGAGCCTGGGCGGCTGTCTTTTTGAACCTTGGCCCCATTAACTGTTACCTATAAGAGGGGGGTGGGGGTGGGGGCGGGGAAAGGTAGTTGAACTATGGTTCCCTTTCTCCTTTATGAACTTCTGAATAGGGATTCACCAAGTTCCATGCTGAATGTGCTAATGCTACTTTTTGCATGCATTGAAGGAACTTAATAGAAGATGCATGAGAAACATAACTTAGTATCAAAAAAATAGAAGATGCATAAGAGATTAGATATCAATACACTAACTTAAAGCTACAAACTACTTAATTTGTGTTCCTATCCCCTTGTTTCAATGTCTGATCGGCGATTTATGAGGTTTTCCATTCTCCATCATTAACTTTTAAATTAGGATTCATTTAGTTCATTCTTTCTCTCTTCTTCTCATAAAGGTGACAATATATTGCTAAAATTTCATCTAGTTCATTCTAAATGTGCTTATGTTACTTTTAGTACTGAAAATCTCCATAATATATCATTAGTATTTTAATTCATAATTAATCCGACTACCTTAAATAATTTAAAATCAGATCATATGTTCATACTTTTATTTAGTGCACTGGGATTCCCAAACACTTAAAATAACCTGAGTTTTCTGTGTCTTTCTCTGCAGTTAAATTTCTTTGTCATCTTTATTCTTTGTATTCTTACTTATTGTCATAGTTTAGTTTTTCTTTCTCTTGATTTGTTCTCTTTATTCGTGTTTTATTTACTTTTCATTATTTTTATTATTCTATGTGATGGACTTTTGGTTTTTTGGATGCATGTTGAGAATTCCAGAACCAGAGGTTTATTTGGTAATCTCTATTACCGTTTCATTATATGCTTAATCATGATTATTGTTTAAAAAAAGGGTCTGCCGAGTGCCTAGGCACCCAAAGTGTACTACGGCGCATGCCTTGGCCTGGGCGGCCATCCTTGGGCGCCTGCCTGGCAGGCACCCAGTGCCCATGGCTTGGGCCCTTTTGTGTGTAATAGAAAGGCCCCGAAGCCATTTTTGGGTCTTTTTGTTATATTTTTGATAGAAAATACTGGTTAAGTACTGCAAGGTTTTAGTTTTTTATATTTTGAAATAACTCCCTTAAGAATGTTTTTTTTAATATGTTAACATAACTCCCATAGAATATTAGTAATTAGAGAGATACTACTAGTTGATAACCTCTAATAATGAATAAAAATCACGTCCACCAAAAATCTACAGTTCATATACTAAATTTCTTATGTTGTGCAATTTTTTGTCATCATCATGCAATCGTAACTTTCTGTTTCAAATGTTTCTAGATACAATCATTTTATAACCTATGGTAGACTCTCCCATGGTTATGTTATCATATATATTGGCCTTAAATAATTTGTCAAAAGTAGTGGTAATCAATATTGTTCCATTGTTGATAATTTGTTCCTTTGATTTTCTACTACTTTGTACAATGTCGTGAAAATGCCATGGAGAATAGATTTGTAAAATTATTTCTAATAAGAAAAGACAATACAAAACTATTTCACCTCATGGCGCCTGCCTTGGGGCTGGGCGCCAGGCCGGCTGCCAAGCGTTTTCTGAAACATTGATCATGATGTCTTTGTTATCATAAGTCTTGACCGACCCATTGCTTTTGTTATCGTTGTTATTTTTGTTTTTTCATAGTCATGTGGTTGTATTCAAACATGAGATGTGGTGTTGCAATTCTCAACACCTAACCAGGCATGTACACACTTTAATCCTAATTTATTTGTTGTGCATTGGGTTTGCAGGTCTAAGTTTCCAAATTTAAGTTCTCTTTTTGAATTTTATCAGATAAATGCAATCAGTTTCTTCTTTTACAAGTTAATTTTTTGGCTGGATCTGTGTACAATGTCCTTGAGTCACTGACGTCATGATCTGGCCAATTTACGATCTAACTGAACAAACCAGCTAATCAAGGCACTGCTTGTGTCTCAGCTTCGCAAACTGTACTGGAAGTGAATTGATAATTTAGGAAGCAACTCCTAAATGATCTAATAATATTCCTGAGAGAAAATAAATGATATGAATAGTTGTTATTGGGTACTTAAACATATTGTGGCATGGTAAGAAGCAAATCAACCTCTAGCTCTGGTCCACAATAGAATATGATTCTATGGACACTGAAAACAGTTGTTACAGACACTTTCGCCGTTGATTTTTGTCTTTTGTACCATACAGCCTCTCTCTATGGTAGAAAGTATAGGACTTAAATCATATTGTTACTACTTGATAAAAACTTGCAAGGGGGTTACTAAATTGGCATTTTCCAACAAATAAGAAAACTGATCCATTTATTCCATGGCTAGAGTATCTCTTCGTGTCCAAATCCTCATTTTTTTTTGGGTAAGTCATGTCCAAATCCTCATTTTATGATGCCTTTGTTCAATATTGAGCTGAACATGTTGAACTACTCGTGTACTTAATGGTCATGTGCATTACGTTTTTCCAATTTTCTCCCATGTGCCTAAAATTGTAAAGGGAGATTGTTTCATTGCATGTGAATGTCCTTGCAACCCTACCATCTAATATCTCGTCCTTGTTATCTATTGGGAAAGGTTACTATACATCCCCACCCAAACATATATTATCTACATCCCTCATCTCCCAACCGTCTGATCTAAATGGATGGTTAGGATAACTTCAGCCATAATGTCATGAGTGAGCCATTGACCGTTTGTTCTAGATCTAACGTCTCAGAGTATTTTAATTTAATTTTGTTCTATAAAACTTATGGAGATGAAATTTGGTGCATGTCATCGTCTCAATAAGGTGACCTAGAAAAATATTTCTGAAAATTAAAATGACCAAAATAGCCTTGAAACTTTCAAGGGTATTTTGGTCATTTTATTTTATTAGGAACATTTTCTTTTCAATATTTTTGCTGGTGCGAGCTTAAGAGAGGATTGGATTCCCCAAATTTGGTGTCAATATCATTTATAGAAAAAAAATTTAAAATAAAACAATGTTTATGCGTGACATTACTATTAGGACATCTCAGCCATCCATTCAGATCGAACGATTGGGAGATGAGGAATGTATATATATATATACCACTAGCTCATATGAACATATGAGCCCAACGGTCCAAATTGAATCTCGACCGATTTGACAATCACGGATGTTTGATAGTGCTTGAATTTTATTTATTTTTCTACATATCCAAATCACTTGAAATTTGAGGTGTGTGTTCTTCTCATCAAGGCACACCTAATAAAAAGATAAAGAAATTTATTCGCAAAAAACAAAATGACCAAAATACTCCTCGAAGCATTTCGAGGGTATTTTGGTCAATTTATTTCATGTAAAATATGTTTTTTGATATTTTTAAAAGATTCACCTATTTTTGATGAACACATGTTTAAAATTTG